CACTCTTTCTTTCTCTTGTTTGTTTCTCACTTTCGTACATACATACACATATTCTTTTTTCTCTTTCTTTCCCTTTCTCTCCTACCGCCTAGCAAGAGCTACCGAGCTACACGAGCTTACCATTTCAAACCGAGGCTCTCCTTCTCCTTCCGTCTTTATATTCGCATCCAAAAAATTCTGTCCGACATGATCGGCTAGGTTGTTGCTGTTTGTAATGGTGCTCGCAACTACCAAAAAATTAGGGTTGGGACGGACAATCACTTACCTTGTTGTTCTTGGTTTAGCTCTGTATTACCAGCATGAGATGGTCCTGGCATTCCACCTTCCAGTGATCCACCACCCCCTCCTCCACCTCCACCTCCTCCTGCTCCTCCACCTAGAAAAATGTAAATTCCTTTAGAGATGCAAAACCTATTTTATTATTTTTATTAACAGTTTTTTTCTATCACAATCATTAGTAATCATTATTAAAAATACTTTTTGGCAAGAAACACAATTTTTTAACACATGAATTCAGATTATAGAAATAATACATTTTATGCTAGATTTTATATATTTATACAAGTTTTAAATAATTATACTAAAAAGTTATTCATAATTACCTTGATAAGAAGGTGGATAAGATGGCAAAACTTCCATGCCACCATCAAGGCTAAGAAAACCACTTGGCAGTGCATTGACCTCCTGCTTTGGAGAACAATCATCATCGCTTCCATATTCTGGTAATTCTATTTTTGGCTAAAATACAAATATTATTGTAATTTTTTTTTTCTTTTATTATTATAATTATTTTATTATGAAAAAGTTATGACGAAATTATTAAAAGCAAGCTCAAAATGTTAATTTCTTCATAAGTTTTCATATTTATAAGAATACATTATAAGTCATTAAAATTTGTATTTTCTACGTTAAAGCTTTTATACATTACACAGTTTTAAATAATCAATGTAAAATTATAAAAAATTTTACTAACCTCAACAATATCGAGATCTTTATAACAGTCGAGTTGAACCTGTGGCTCAATTAATGGCCGTGTGCGTGGCGTTCCAGTTGCACAGGCCGCCGCAGCTGGTACTGGACTAGATATTTGAGGCGAATCACTTCGTTTGCACAGCCTTTTTAGTGGTGGAGGACTTGAAGTTGGTGGAGTTTTGCTACGGTCCTCCTCCAAATTTGGTGAGATCAGCCCACGGCCATTTGATGCGTGTATGTTGTTTGTTTTCAAATGCTACAAAAAATCAAGTAAAATTATATTAACATTAATGTATATTTTTAAAGAAGCATATAAAAGTATTAACAGTATTATATTGATTACAACGCATCAATTTGTTTCAACCATGTCACTGTCAACTGATATTAGCAGAACAATATTTGTATGAGTCACACACATATTTTATAACAACTTATATTGGTGTATTATATTTATTAATATGTACCAATATGTTTTTATTACACTTTTGTAATAAAATAATTACACCATTTAAATACAATTAAAATGAATCTAATGTTGATTAATAATAACCTGTTATGTAATGTACTGTTAATTATTATCAATGTTATTTCAAGAATTTCAAATTACTTACATGAAAAATGGTTTAAATAATATATATCATTCGAAAATTTTAGTAAACAAACCTTTTCGTTGTTGTGCTGATTATTTTGAGAGTCAGTGAGGCCACGGATTTGCAGAGACTCAGCAGTTCTTAGAAATGTAGGTAATTCTGCTTGAGATATGTTAACCTCTCCAGCATACATGAACTCCAAAAGTGACTGCAGGTGTTCAAACTCCACATCACGCATAAATATTATCGGATGCTTGCATGGGTTTGTCTATAAGTATACATCATTTATTTGTTTAACTTTCATGAAATACTGAATATCCCTATTTTATTCTTTGTAAATATAATATTTTTATTTTTATAATTTACATTTTTGTAATTTCATTACAAAATTATTGGAAAGTAATTCGATACAAATTAAAAATAAAAAGAACAAATTCAAATATTATATTGAAGAAATACTAAATAGCAATTTATTTCATAATATTTGACCAATATTTACAAAGGCTAAATATACATACAGTCGGTAAATGTTATTATTTGAATTATTATTAATTTTTAATTATGATTATTACTACTTTTCCAGAGTCAAAAAGATGATTTAAAAGCATATACAAAACATTATGCAAAGCATTATACAAAACCGTAGCACAAGATTATTGTAATTATAATACATTGTATGTTCCTGAATGAATTTTTTTTAAAATACAGAATTTATGTAAAATGCTTTTTCATATATCATATATATATATATATATAAATTACATTAACAATAAAGTTATAATTTCTTATTTATTTAGTTTAAATTAATATTTGTAACAATAACTTAATGTCTATAATATTTAAAGATATAACAAATCATATATGATTTAACACGTATACTTTCTTATGAAAATTATAAAATACTGTTGTATTTCAATCTTATTTGACATAAAAATACAAAGAAAATTTTATATTGTTTTCAAGGAATCTTAAAATTACATTGACATTACATTTAAGAATAATTTATTTATCTCAATTCAATTTTCATAAATCATATTATCTAAATTAACTAATTTCTTTATTTTATCTAAAGATATTGAAATGAATACATATATGAAAGTAAATCGTCTTATCGTTCTGTTTCCAATTAAAAAATATTTTAGATATGAAGGAGTAGTAGTATATTTAAATATTTCAAAATTAAAACACTATACTATTAATAACTGAAACAAATAAAAGCTTGAAAACGAAATATCAAGAAATTTATTTTACACAAAATTGTGTAATTCAAATTTAATATATGCAAAACCACAAAGGAAAAGATGTAACTGTAAAATATAACTGCAATTTTTGTTTGTAAAATTACTGAATTTTACATTAATACACAAAATAATAGTATTCCTTTGCTTGATAATAAATCTCATAAATGTCATAAATACATGGGATAAACATAAGTACTGAAATCTAAATTATATATTGCTGATTACTAAAGAACTACATTTCTAACTAGATCTGTATTTTATGTTTTTATTATAATTGTTATTAGTGTATACATAAATAATACACTGAAATTGAATAATTCTTATGAAATTTATATAAAATTAACTGTACTAAAGTCAATCTAAATAATCATTGATTATTGAAAAATAAATAACATATAAGAAAAAGTATTCCCATACAAACTATATATGAACATACATAGGAACATTACAACATACTGTCACGACGTATGCATAAGAATTATGAATAAGAACTTTAATTTGAACCATGTCTTAAGCAAAGCATGAGTTTCAAAGAAGGTAAGAATGAACGGCTAAGGGGAAGAGAGGGGGGGGAGGGGCATCAAGCAACTAGCACTGAGAGAAGCAAGGCGGGGAAGGTTTTCTAACCTTGAACAACTCCTTGAAGTAAGGGCTGCACGCGGAGAGGACAACCTTGTGCGCCTGGAGACGCCTACCATCGCAGGCTAAGGTGACATCGACGAAGTCCTCGTCATCCCTGAGGGCCTCGAATTGGCTGGTGATATTAGCTTGAAAGTTGTTCCAACGCAAGCAAAACTGCTGCTGGCTATCCGTCATTCTCCTCGCTCGACTCCCTTCGACCTCCTCTCTCTCCCTCTCTCTTAAGCCGAGAGCCCCCCACCACCCACCCTCTGTCCGTCTCTCTCTTACTTTCACCTTCTTCTACTTCTGTCTTTTTTCCTCTTTTTCTTTCTTACTGATGGCAGCGTTGTTCTTTCTTCGTTGCACACTTTGACTTCTCAAGTGTATCTTTCTCTGTCTTTCTTTCTTGCAGGAGACACTTTAGAAATTTTCGAAAGATATTGAATATGAAAGATTCATTGAGACGAAGAGGGTGAGGGTGGTTTCGCAGGTCAGGCCTGTTTTACTGCACCCTCGTGCTACTGGTTTGAGATGAGGCTCTCATTACTCTGGAAAAAAAATGGCAGGTGCAAAAAGTGCAATCGATGACTGAAGAGGAGGTGTGTACGTGGGGAGAATCGATAGACGGCTTACCAACATTAAGAGTTGAATACATATATGAAAGTAAATCGTCTTATCGTTCTGTTTCCAATTAAAAAATATTTTAGATATGAAGGAGTAGTAGTATATTTAAATATTTCAAAATTAAAACACTATACTATTAATAACTGAAACAAATAAAAGCTTGAAAACGAAATATCAAGAAATTTATTTTACACAAAATTGTGTAATTCAAATTTAATATATGCAAAACCACAAAGGAAAAGATGTAACTGTAAAATATAACTGCAATTTTTGTTTGTAAAATTACTGAATTTTACATTAATACACAAAATAATAGTATTCCTTTGCTTGATAATAAATCTCATAAATGTCATAAATACATGGGATAAACATAAGTACTGAAATCTAAATTATATATTGCTGATTACTAAAGAACTACATTTCTAACTAGATCTGTATTTTATGTTTTTATTATAATTGTTATTAGTGTATACATAAATAATACACTGAAATTGAATAATTCTTATGAAATTTATATAAAATTAACTGTACTAAAGTCAATCTAAATAATCATTGATTATTGAAAAATAAATAACATATAAGAAAAAGTATTCCCATACAAACTATATATGAACATACATAGGAACATTACAACATACTGTCACGACGTATGCATAAGAATTATGAATAAGAACTTTAATTTGAACCATGTCTTAAGCAAAGCATGAGTTTCAAAGAAGGTAAGAATGAACGGCTAAGGGGAAGAGAGGGGGGGGAGGGGCATCAAGCAACTAGCACTGAGAGAAGCAAGGCGGGGAAGGTTTTCTAACCTTGAACAACTCCTTGAAGTAAGGGCTGCACGCGGAGAGGACAACCTTGTGCGCCTGGAGACGCCTACCATCGCAGGCTAAGGTGACATCGACGAAGTCCTCGTCATCCCTGAGGGCCTCGAATTGGCTGGTGATATTAGCTTGAAAGTTGTTCCAACGCAAGCAAAACTGCTGCTGGCTATCCGTCATTCTCCTCGCTCGACTCCCTTCGACCTCCTCTCTCTCCCTCTCTCTTAAGCCGAGAGCCCCCCACCACCCACCCTCTGTCCGTCTCTCTCTTACTTTCACCTTCTTCTACTTCTGTCTTTTTTCCTCTTTTTCTTTCTTACTGATGGCAGCGTTGTTCTTTCTTCGTTGCACACTTTGACTTCTCAAGTGTATCTTTCTCTGTCTTTCTTTCTTGCAGGAGACACTTTAGAAATTTTCGAAAGATATTGAATATGAAAGATTCATTGAGACGAAGAGGGTGAGGGTGGTTTCGCAGGTCAGGCCTGTTTTACTGCACCCTCGTGCTACTGGTTTGAGATGAGGCTCTCATTACTCTGGAAAAAAAATGGCAGGTGCAAAAAGTGCAATCGATGACTGAAGAGGAGGTGTGTACGTGGGGAGAATCGATAGACGGCTTACCAACATTAAGAGATAAATGAAGTACAATATTTGATGTATAGTACTTTTTACAAATATCTTAATATTTTTATATTATATTTATTTTAATTGGATAAACATATAAAAACTACTATAATTTTTAATTATATTTTAATTAACACGTTGAAAAATATTTTCATTTTTCTTAGAAAAAATACTTAATCCTATTAAGTTACTAGAAATGTACCTAGAGGTATCCATAATCTTTCATTTTTTTCTTTTCTTTTCATAAACGTCAACATACATTTTATAATTAACTATCACATAATTAAAAGAAATCCATGTTAGTATCCAGTGTAAATATAAATATTTTTAATATCAATCTGTGTAACTAAACAATTGAAATAAAACATATATTTTGTAAAACTTTTAATTACATTTAAAATATTAAATTAATATCTAGTAATTTTTATGTTAGATCTAATATTTTTTTTAGCAGAATTTTTAAAAGGATCTATTCCAGTTAATAGTAATTTTTTACATAAATCCTAAATTAAATTATTTTATATAGATCTTTCATCAATTTATAGATCATTTTACATTGACAAAAAGATTCAAATTTATAAACTATCATAGCACAAATTACAGATAAGATAAGAACATATATAACAAAAATAAGATTGTTAATTAACATTCAAGTTATTTTAAAAAAAGAATATTTAACAATTATTCCATTTAACAATTTTATAACAGATGCATAAATTATATAAATATTTATTAAACACTTTAGAAGTATCCAGAATTATAGAATTATTAAACACATAATATATATTATGAATTAAACTTAAGATTAAGATATGAATATTAGTTATATTTAAAACTAAATTATAATTGTGGTAGATAATGTAAAAAATAAAGTAAAACCAAGTAAAATTTATAAATCGAATTCGTGTAATTATAAGCAACTTTCAATATTTTATAATTCTTAGGTGTAGTATATTATTATCTTTTGCATTCATGTATATCTCTATAAGTGCGAGAACTTTAAATCTGTTGTAAAAAAAAAAGTAGAAAATATTTCCGTGACTGCAGATAGTATCTCTACGTCACGTCGTATTCTAAATTAAACCAAATTTTACCACCCGTTATATGATCGTCTTCGTAGCTTCGAACAGTTTCGGGCCGTCATGGACGCCCGAATTTTGTTCATAAAATAATTTTTTTTTTTTAATTTTTTCTTGACTTTATTGTGATAAATGTGAGAAAGATTTTATGAAAACTTACGATAATTTTGGAAAACTGACAGTTATGTGACGTAAGCAAAAAATGTCAAAGAGACAGGTGAGTCAAACTTCTCTATTTTTCGTTATATTTTGTTCTTCTCTCACTGTGTCGTTTTCATTTCTTAATATTTTATCATTAAAGTTTATGAGAGGAAAATGAATATATTTAAAAACAAAACTTAATTGTCAGTTGTAATGATTGTTTTTAACCTCGTTTTGAAAGGTTACTGCGGATGACTCAATCGATACATTGTCCTCGAATTTCGTTTTCCTGAGTAACAACGAGTATAACAAACTGCTCATTAGTGATTTGAAATTTTTATTATTATCTTTAAGGAATCTTTATGCTACAGAAATATCCCAATTCTCTCATTTAAACGTGTACGTAGGAAACAAAAGATAACTGTAACCTTCATTAGGTTAACCTTCCAAATACATTTTTTTAAAGTTTGTTTGATACAGATGCAATTTAATTATATTTTCTGTTTATATTATGTAGTTTTGAATTTTAAAGACTAAGATAAATAAGTTACATAGAATTTCTGGTATATATTATTGAATATAAAATAGTTTATTGAAGTCTTATTTGTTGGTTGTTCTCTCACAAAATAGTCTTCTAAAATATATTTAAAACATACAAGTTAAAAGAATAATTGGAACAGAAATTTTATTTTTATATAATAAAGTACCTTATATAAATTATTTTGAAAGTAAAATATAAATCTTCAATTGAAAAATTTGTGTAAATTATTTAAATATTAGTTATATAATTTTTAGTTAATGTACAATTTTAAATTTATTTTAAATATTATTGTAATCAGACATTATAGTGTCAAATATTAATTAATTTTAATGAAATGACAAATTTAGAAAAAAATCATAATTTAAGATATCAAAATACACATCAACTGTTTTTAATATCTAATGAAAGTTTTGTTTTTAAATTTTTAAATATTATTATCTTGTTTGTTACTGTTCTTACTGAAATTGTCAGTGTATTATAAAGCTACTTATATATTTAAAGTTATTTAGTTGTCTTAATATACTAATTAAAATTGTGATAATAAAATTAAATCTATTGTTATTTTATGAATTAAATTGTATAAATTTAATCATAACAAATATATAAATGTAATCATATAGATCTAAAGATGACTTATGAGGTAGTGTTACAGATTTATGAAATTAAGGAATTAATTTTATACTTATGTAATATATGTGGTTTATTATTTCAGCGTTTGCTAATTAATTACTTTTTAAAATATTTTTTTTAATATTTTAGAATGTTATAGGTGTAATAATATTTTGAACATTTTACAATTAATTTGTACTTCTATAATATCGTGTTTTATTAAAATATCATTAATATAAATTTGTTTGTTAAAATAATTATAAGGTTTCTTTTATGTTTGCAGAATTTATACAGTGTGTTGTTTTGGTGATCATTGTGGTTTCCTTACTGGAAACCAAAAATTTTATACTACGCCACGGTGAGTTACTAAATAACTTTTAAACTGACTACGTAACCTTAAAATATTAAACAAGATTAAAACAAATTTATTAAATATTTAAATAATTTGTTTGTATTAAACTTAATCTTGAATAATATATATTTTCAGTAAATTAATATTTTACTAAAATAGTTTATTTCTTTAAAGTATTTTATGGTTATATGAAACAATTGTATATCATAACTGTTTATAAAAAATTGAAGTTTATGTAATATCTAAGCCATGTAATTGATTGCATAAGTGTAAGTGAAAGTAAATTACAAAATCTAAGTATTTAATTCTTTTAACGAGAGACATTTTACTTATAGCTAAATAAGTTTCAAAAGTTTTCCTTACCTTTTGATGTATCAGAAAATGGCAATTCTATTAATATTGTACACAAATTACAATTCCTGAACAGTTCAGTGTAGTATTGGCAACCAATAGATTAACTCAACTGTGGCACCATATCAGACAACGGTTATTTTAATCTGAATAGAGATAATTATCTTAGAATTAGGATAGTACAGCTTCTGAAAAAAACGAAGAAAATTATGCTAGTCCATAATCAGAAGTTACTTTTACATGTTTTAGAATTGTATAAGTTTGTTTTATATAACATTTTATATTATTTCATTGATTTATGTAAAATTTTTCGTAAATCATATTACAATTGATCATATTTTTCAATAAACCAAAATTTCATTTGCAATTTTACTATGTAAAATTATTTTGTTATTTTTATTTTATACATTTTACAATTTTTGTATGTATTACTTTTTTTTTTCTTTCCTGAGCTATGGATACTATAATTTTTTAAATCTTTTATTTTTATATGTTTGTTTTATTCCTAAAATTTTTTCTAAAATTGTATCTTGTTTTATGAAGTTTTAATCATTATACTTCGAGTATACGATAAATAATGTACATTCTAAACAAAGTAAATATAATCGCAATTTCACCGAAATGTGTTAAAAATCAACACAATTTTGATCATGATTGTACAGCTGTTATCAGCTTATGTCAAATGATAACAGGAACGGAAAAAGACTCTCGTTTGTAAGAACTGAGGTGTTCAGAAGCTATTTAGAAGTTGACGAGTTTATTCATCGAAAAGTTTCGCAATATTCGTGTTCACTTTATCTTGTGATATTTAATTTATATGCCATAATAAAAAGATAAATACACAGTTTAATGTGAGAATTAAGTGAAAGCTAAGTGATCCTTAGAAATTTATCATAATTTCAATTTATAATCTTTTTGTCTAATATCACAGTCAAGTTTTTTTTCACAGAAACGATAATTACGAAAATTTAGTAATTATTAAAAGAATAATACCGAAATCTACACAACTACATATTTAATTTAAAAGCAGCATCGTGATATCTATACATACATAACCTGTCTATCGCGATTAGTACACGATCTATATTACGAATAGTTCGATACTAAAAACCAGTCACGAACATATTTAAAGAAAAATAATTAATATTTTTTAACGTTTTAATCCTTGATTATTATTATTCATTATTAAAAGGATTGTTTTCTCTGAAAATAAAGATACATATATCTAGAAAAGAAACACATTTGGTTTTTATGTCGAGGGTTTGGCGTACGTATAGTGAAAAGTACTCTTGGAGGTGATAGTTCACAGTTTCAAATCAAATGTTGCTTAGAGGGATTGCATTTGCGGAAGCAAGACGAAATTCCGCTAGACGCATTTTAAAGCCTCAAAATTCCGGTTGCGAAAAGGATAACACTGAATTGACTTACGATGGAGTCTTTCAGCGTAGTTTGGGATCAAAGGCAAATACGTATTCGCAGTCAGTCGGTGAACAAAGCTCGACTGCTCCCCTTTCTATTGTAAGTTTTTCTTTATGCCTAACACTATCTCAAAATAATAAATATGAAAAAAGTCTTGCACGAAACATTACAATGTGGAGTATCGTGAATGTTATTATTAAATCAAATACACGTATCAAATAATTAGTTCTACAATTTTTATGTTGTATGGGCAAAACACTGTGATGTCAAACAAAGTAACGGTGTCTTTTCTCAAATTTGTTCAATTGTCTTTTGTAATGGTTAGTTTTTAACACAACAGAAACAAAATTTATAGTGTATGTGTTTGTAATGAATTTATTCGTAAAAGGGAATCAAAGATCGATAATCTAACATGCATGCGATATTTATATTTTGTACAGTATATCAAAAATAATATTTTTTACATATTAAATTCTTTTAATCGGATATTACTCCACTGAAATTCATTTTTTTCGATAATTACAAGATACAACGGTAAAGTATACGTATGTTGAAGCAAAGAGATATAAATTTGTGCGTACGTGAAATTTTAGTGAAAGTCACACGGAAAGGAAGATCGTATTTGCTTATTTCGTCCTTATCGCGACGTGATAACGTATCGATGATAAAATCAATAATATAGGAAAATTTTGCTAAATATTTTACGTAGTAACAATAATTAACATGGTGGTAACAATTATTAATATTTCAAAATATATTGATCATATGCTTTCATAATGGTAAAGAATGAATTCTTCTAAAGCATTGGCATCATGTACATTACGTATATGTTGTAAATAGCAATAAAGCTTATTTATAAATGTTACAAGTAGAAAGAACAATGAACTTTATTTGTCTATTGTTATTTATAATATTATAATGTTATAATTAAAAATTATGTATTAATTAAGAATTAATTTTTTAACAATGTCATTGTATCTGTGTTATCTTTCCAAAATCAGATTACTTTAATCGTACTAACATTCGTTAGTCACGTAGCCAAATCAATGGACATAATTGTGAAAATCATTTTGAAAATTCTTAGAATCCACACGATATTATTCAACGTTTATTTCGAGTTTGTCATTTTTCGTATTCAACGCGTACAAATATCCTCCATGTCTTCTACAAACATAGGCTAGTCTAGAATGGAACCATAAGGCACGTGAACTTGGTAACAGAATACAGCTCACTGGATACAGCGCATATGCACTTTTCTGTATTAATAGCTTGAATTCGTTCTTTTGTACATTCCAGTAACGTTTCGTCCTTGCTTGAATTTAACTTGCAGTTGCTAGTGTTTACTAGTGTCACAAAATAGAATCGATATTTTAAGAGCGTCCCAACATTTTAAATCGTTCTTCTTATTCCATTTCTTACCTTTATCTTTGCCCAATTAAATCGAAAATATCGTGGAACTTCTTTTCTCTCTTAATTCTTTTACCTCTCCGTTCTTTTATTTGAGAAGGATATTATTATGTACGTAGGAAAACATTCTGTCGAACACATGCTATTTGTCTTCTGTTTCTGTTTCATTACCGCGTGATTCCGAGAAAAATTTCCATTGTAATTTCACGATATACGTAGTTGCACGTATTTCGAGTAAGAATGAGACAAAAATGTATCGTAAATCTATATGAAATCATAAGACAAATCATTTTCGCTACAAAGATAATACCAGCAAATTAAAAAGGTAAAGAATCCTTTAAGAATTTTAAAAAGAATTTTGCGAATCAATTTTTTTCAACGAATTGTTATTCTATTTTCATTTATCGAGATTAAAATTCGAGATATCTTTCCTTCTCAACATAATCTGCTGAGGAAAACATTTCAGGACGACGATACGAGCACTATCACTTCGTGGAATTAATTTTTAACGATCAGTCGATGCTGCAATTAACCTTATCGTAACTAATACGAGACTGTTGATAAAACTAGTCGCTTTGTTAGCAGTGAGAAATATAATTCATGCGTCATGCAACAAATTAAACCTAAGATTCTACAACAATTTATAGGTTTATAATTTTCAAGATATGTTAAAGATCATTCGCTGTTCGTTGATAGTAGTTGCAGACAAGTGACGTAACGTGGTTATTCATTACTTTGTTTATTCGCATGTGTATGGTTGTCGATGAAGGAAGGTGAGGCGATATCCTTCGTCGCCACAGCGTCCAAGCTGGCCGCCGTGGAGGATGCGGCTCCGAAGGGGCCCGAGGCTTCGATTCGTTCGAAAGTCTCGCCCACGGCAAGGGCCACCCTTCAGGCCCTCCGATCCTCCAGAAACAGAATATCAGCACCTCTAGCACCTTCTCCAGTAACAACCAAAGACGTCGAAACCATCACCGGTAAGTTTTCTCGTTATTCAATTATTAATTATTATTTTATATATATTTATTTATTTATTTATATTTATATATAAGTAGAGATGTAATGTATACGTTATGTATTAATATTATATATCAATATATATATATATTTCTGGAAAATTATGAAATCTTTTATTGGAAAAAGTGGAAAAAATCTGATCACTTTGATTACTCTCTTTTTTCATATTGTTTATTAACAGCAGTTTTTGTGCATATAATCATCTCGTTTGTATCTTGATGTATCTTTTTTGTTTTGTATAATCGCTATTAACAGGCTATAAGCAATGCAAATGCCTGTTCTTGGAAATATTGCTGTATTCCGTGAGTCTGTAATTTGTTTAAGCGTCTCGTCAATTAGAGAATTCGAATAAAAGATTGTTATCGAAAATTGCAAGTTTTCGAGGAAAATTTGTGTTAAATGCCGCTAATTTCTTCTTTCGCGCATGTTCAAATTGCGTGACACTGTCAGGTTCAAAATTTTACGCGTCTACGCGTTGAAACTGCGATATATGTATACCAAAATAAGAAAAGAAATTATCCTTCGTAATAGTTATATTTTATGACGTATGCGCGAATTACTAGAAATTACTAGGAAAGTATAAGCGAGAAGTGTCAGAGAGGATTTTTTAACGACTTACCTGCTTTTCCAATTTCGAGTATTATACGAGTATAATCCGATAAATTAGGAGAAATCACGAGTAACAGGGTAGATTATAAAAAGACTCGGATTATTTATTCGCACGAATTCGGTATTCTTGTTCATCGAACAGATTACTCGCGATCTTTTCACGTGTAACACTTTCAGCACTTTGCCAGGATCACTAAATCCGTTTAGAAAATGAAATTTCAACGTTGAAGTAAAAATTCTCGGTTAGCGATTTATACATGAAAGAACTGCTCTAATCTTTGTGAACTCAAAGAAGGAACTATCCCCTCTGTTCTCGGGAACGAGTATTTTATGGTGGTCTGTGAACCTCCATGGCAAACGACATTCACCGCTGGCAAATGATGATTACTTCTCTCGGTCATTATCATCATCATTATCGTTAGGATCATCATCATCATCATCATCATCGTCCTCGTCGTTGCCGTCGTCATCGTCGACCACTTCTTCATTATAATCATTGTCATGGTACTTCTCATCGTCAAACACGAACGAATAATTTTTTCTTGTTAAAAAAAAAAAACAAGCGAAAACAATTGACGAAACTTCCGGCTTTAATATTTCTAGGGGAAACGACATTTGTCGATAACGTAGGTAACAGCATTAACGTTAACCTGTTTACCCGACGTTTCTGTGATTATTATAACATTTCGTCTGTTTTTATTTCGTTGATTTAAGTTTCTTAACTGACACAAATTACAATTACCATTAAACTAAATAGTATTTCAAGAGTTTGAAGTAGGTACGGTGTTTCGAATCAGCTGACGAGATAATTTTACGATTCTGACGGTGATGCCGAAATAACTAACGTACTTTGTTGCGTGGCGCCAAAAATAACCGACCTATAAAGGGTCGGTCATTTTATGCTCTCCTAATCTCGTGTCCATTTATCTAATGCCAAATCAGTTTATCGTTATACGAATTAATTGAGAGATTTTGATCGTTGCCCTCTCTCTTAATTGATCTCGCTTAAATTCGCAAGATAAAGATATCAGAAAATGTTTTTATAATTATTATGTCATAATTATTTATCACGACCTTTGATTCGTAGGATTATTTGATAAACGAAAGAAATAAAAAGATAAATTAACGTATATTTCTACAAATATTCATAATTTTAAAGTAAGAAGAAAAAAAAAAGGAAAAAGGATTCTTACATAATGGCACGCGATTTTCAAAAAATGATATTTGTCTCGCCAAAAGATATTTAAAAATTTAACAGACGTCATTGTTCGGTCTAGAAACTCGTTGACCTGATTCACGAGATTTTTATTTCAGACTGTTACTTGGGTCGTTAACTATGTTCGTTATGTAAATGGTGTAACTGTAAAAAAAGAAATGCTGGGATAAAGGGGGAAGTGATCGAGAGTAAAATTGATAGAAATCGATCTTTTTTCGATCGATCTATTCGGGGTTCCTAAAGAAACAAGATTGGCAGCGAGCCCAATAGATTTGTGCTATTTTGTTCTGTCTCTCCGAGCATTAAGTTCTAACTCGGACCGCGAATCCGTGCGATCGTTTTTCTACACTCTCCAAAATTCTGTTTTGTTTTGTTTTTTCGAAGAATTTATCGCCTGTTCGAAATAATTCGTTGGTGGTGTCATAAAAATTTGTATAACAATTTTGATAAAAATTTTGATGTTATTCCCTGCGAGAATAAAAAGTGCTCTGTGAAATTGTACACGATAAAAATTACTGTAAATCGTGAAATTATGGACCTGACGTAAAATACGTGTGTTTATTATCTTCTTTAATACGGCATGGACAGTCTTATTTAAATATTTGTAATATTATATCGTCGTCAGAATACGAATTTTTCATATTATAGATATTTTTCTAGTGTCCTTTTCTATCTTTTTATTTTTTTAATTTTTCTGTCTCATATCTAATATTTATATAATTGTGCATTTTATTTGTCAAATATCAAGAAAAATTTAAGTTCGTAACAGAGGGAATGTTTAAATGAAATATGAAAATTGTATGTACATTGGCAGCAAATTTATGTGAATAAGTAAATAATAATATTATGTATATATACGTTAAAAAGATTTAAATATAATATTCAAGTGATCGTATTCAAGGCAGGAAAGAACTTAATAAATAGAAAGGAATGAAAGTATTAGGTTAGAATTAAGGATTATGTACGTAGGTAGTGGTGAATCTAGTCGGCCCAGTGGCCCAGCAAGAATTAAAAAAAATCTCGAAAAGAAGGAGAGAATTCTCAACAGATGGAGAAATGGTACGATTTTTTGTAAAACTCTTTTTAATTTCTAATTTGTGCTTAAATTACATTATTTTATTCGAATTTGCAATACCTATTCCGTTTTATACAAATTTCAATGTTTATGTTGTGTAAGTATGTGATTAAATATAACTTTGTTATCGGCCGAGTTTAATATGGCTTTGTATCTTGCTTTACCTTAACTCCGTCAGATGGCAGCGCTGGCAACGTTATATAACACACAAGACATTTTCAAAAAACGAAGTGCATTCACAGGCGAGATATAGAATGGACTTATCAACTCATTCATTTTTTATCATATCTGTGGAACTTTAGAGTCACCGTACCATTTTAGTATCATTTCTAACCTTACAGATTCGTCGTAGAATGCTACAACATTAGCATTGACCGTTGACATTAACGTAATTAAGATTAAATTTAAATATGAAATAATAAATATGAAATATTTAATTTAATATGAAATAAGAATGTCGTATAATGACGAATAAAATAATTGTGTTTTGTAAATAATTATTTCTTTAATACGAAAAGCAAAACGTTACAAATTAATTTTTATTCTACAGTTTTCTAAATAAAACATTTTTAAATATCTAAGGAATATTATTAATTACATTGTCTGGAATTTATTTCGTAATATATCACGTCTTGATACGCTACTTTTTATACGCTATTTAAATATTAGTATTTACTTATGCGCTAATAAAGATACATAGAAAGTTATAATTTTATTAGAATTAACTTTATCAGTTGCAACACGTTAGTCACTTAGTACTATAAATAAATATATACGGCAATATTAAGCACTACGTGAATTCAGAAAGAAATTATACATGCAAACTAAACTTGGAGAAATATATTTAAAAAAATTTTGTTTAACATAATGTTTTATTCAAAACGAACTACGGAACAGATGTATATTTATAATTTTCACATATGGCTCTGCAAAGCATTTACATGTTACGTAAATTTACGTAAAATTTAACATAGCTTAAACAAAATTATATTCGGAGTCATCGGGAACTTTAAAAGCCTGTTTGCATAATTTTACCTATATTTGATTCTTATATATAGGGTAACCAAAAATTTATGCATGATTTAAATTTTGCGCCATTTGTGCGGTTAAGTGTTGCCAACGACAAAAAAAGAAAGATACTAAGGTACTAAGTATGCTGATGTATACTTTATGAATCAATAAAAAATTTATAATTTTAAATTAAAAACCTGTATTTTCTGTAAAAATTACTTCTTGCGTGAATTTTGGGCCATTCATTAGTATGACTAACAATTGTAATTTTCAAGTAACTACGAAATGGTCATAACGATCGCCTTGATCGTTCGCTAATTTATTATTATTTTTATTTTTATTATTTATTCGATAATTTCAACTAAATCCTTATTTTGCACTTGTGTGGCAAGTAATAGTTCAAAATTAAGGATAATGGAAAAATCTGGAAAAATATAATTTTTCAAATTGCTTATAATTGACTTGAAGATATTTTTTATATTTAAGAATTATAAAATTTTTGCATACGACTTATTTCGTTCAAAGACAGGTGAAATTTTATTCATACAAACTTCTTCGTAAGTTTTGGTTTCTTACGTAGGTTGGTGCGTAAAATGATTTTGGATTTTTCCTGTTATCACTCTGTCACAGTTTTGGTATTTTAGGAAGATCCAGTTTATTGGCGAGCAGATAACAGGAACGAATACGTTTCCTACAAGATAAAGGAGTTTCACGTGTTCAAAGAAATTGCTCTACAGACCATAAAATGACATTGGCATTAACAAGACGAGAGAGATGGTAATGATATAAACAAGGATGTTAAGAAGAAATACCTTTACGTTCTAATATATGCTCCACAAGCTTTTAAATTAGACTAGATAACAGTAGCGTGCAGTAGAGTGGTGTAGAAAACAACAAATATCAAAATAATAGTGACGAGCAGATAAAAGGAAATATTCAAGTTATTTAGTGGCTATTTTCAAACAAAAATTGAACCCAAATATGTACAAAAAAGAATGAAAATGTTGCAAAGTAGACCCGTTCTCGATACAGCACCTGATTCCATCGCTAAATCACGTGTGTTTAGAAAAACACTGCTATATAGAAAGCGCGCGATTAATATCTACATTTCTCCGTAAGATGGCAATGTGATATCTTCGTTTGTTTGGCTTAAAGGTGCGTTTATACCACTGCCGTGTCCCTGACGAGCTTGACTCATCTCATGTGTGAATGGCTCTTTAATCGATAATTCACTACGTCGATAATAAAAGGAATATATTTCTTTTTTTTTACAAATCTTTCAAAATGGCGTTTTATCTAACGTATTGCAAAATGAAGATTTATAATTTCGAAATGTGTTGCCATAGAGATTAAAAAGTTTTTCAAAGATTTAATCAATGGTGCATTTGCTTTCTCTATTATCCCATCCAAGTTTGAAACATCTATTTTAAATGTTGCCAAATGTACACATACATCTTGGAAACAAACCTTAAATATGGGTCACGGCCGTCGACAGGTTTATGGTGCATTCAAACGATGCGACATTATTGTAATTGGAGTTTATATTTTTATTAATAGGAACGCACATCTGTATGCGTTGCATGATTCGAGACTGCCAAAAATCGTAACGATCGCCAGTTTGTGAAAGACGTTCTAGTGTTTCACTGTTACGACGTTAAAATGTCAGATAATGCGTGCTGCGTTCAATGCGCTTTTGATTCGTCATTGTGTACGAATAGGAAGGCGATCATGTTACACCGAAAACAAGCGAGACAAAGAAAGATAAGCAACGTTCGCTTTATTCTAAAAGTATAACTTTACCTTCAAATTTTTCATTCTTATACATCCTGATTAAATTAGAAAAATATACGAAGTATATCGTGTTCAAAAGTGTATTGAGAAACATATGGATTATATAGTCTGAAAAAAAGAACAATAAAAAAAACTCGTTCGTTGTTGCTTTATAGTTACAGAACCGGTATATTAGAATTTGAAATTTAAAATAACTGTTCACAGATTTAAAAAAAGGTAATCCATCATTTGCTTCAAATGCTTTACTGAGATATGTTCCGTTACGTTAAATGTGGGGTTACCAGTGACCCCACGGTGTTGTTCTAGTTATGATGCATATACTAAAACAAGCCTGTCGAAGTATCGATGGGAAACAAACTTCATACGCTTGCTTTCAAAGTTATGAAACAGTAAGGAGTCAGTTTTCAATCGTTCCATTTTTTCGGGGAATATAAGGTATCTTTTTAAAGGGAAAAAATTGTTTCTCGATACTCTTTTAGATATGATATGTTTAATTGAGCTTCATTTTAACTAAATATACGTGTAATATATATATATAAAAATTGAAAAGTTTTGGGTTGTTTTATGTTTGTGAAATGGAGTATAGATGCTGATATCTTTTGTTAAATCTGCATGAAGTTATCAATTTCTAGTAGACTACATATATCATATAAACCACAAAATTTATAACGGTGTTGTAAATATATAAATAACAGTAGTTTTAATAGGGTTATATTTAAACCGATTTTCATCAAACAATATTTTTGTTATTTAAATATTATTGTAATGGAAGATATGAGTATAATTAGTTAGGGGTTAGGTTAGTTAAGAAATAATTATTTCTATACGCGTGTTCAAATTTTATCACCATATGATCAAAAATTCCAACAATGTACTTTAATATATATAAATATCTTTATTATGTAGGTATATATATTATCTATAATAATATATATTCCTATAGTTCGTAAGCTTGCCGCTTTAAATTATAGATGGCACAACAAATCTTTTGACTTATTGCGCGATCGGTATTTCAGAAGAACTTCAAGGGTGACAAGTGTAGTTTATATCTCGTCTGTAGGATAATAATAAATGTTATTTTATTTTAATTTTTCCTAAAGTAAAGAGCTATCCTCCACTTTTTTAGTTAAAGTGATATATTTTGTATCTTTAGGTAGTTTTTGACTACACAAATATTGTAACATTACATCTCTTTGTTTTAAATGTATGTTTCAAATTTCAAAAGTATGAAGGAGATAATATGAATATAAAGACTTCAGCTAAGTTAAACAGCCTGAACAAAGTTATGATTATTGTTGTTAAATCACATACATATATAATCGTCAGCAGATATATGAAGATATATATAATTAATAACTTAATTATATTAATATCATTTATGTGCCAGCAACAATTTTTCAGAAAGACAAAAATTTATATCCGTTTTCAATAATGCAAAAAATATGCATAGCAATGCTAATTTTTTATGTTAGTAAACTTTGAACATATAAAAGATAATATATTAATAATCATTAAAATACCCTACTTATGTGACTGTAATAGTATAATTTTATAATTTTTTAATAATATATTTTAGTATATTAATAGTATAATCTTTAAATAATATAATTTTGTGTAGGAATACACATGTAATTTCTATTACTTAATTTTATTAAATAGTTAATTGCAATAATAAATTAATAACTTCTTACAATGAAATTATGGTAGTATAGTTTATTGGCAATAAAAATTTACAAATGTTATATTATTTATCAAAAATAATATTTACACACAATTGATCACATTAATAATTTCGATAGGAAAGTTGTCACAGTTAGTTCAACATTATTTTACATGGTCAAACAACCAATTTTTTCAGTTGTTCCTAAGAAAGCAATTAAAATTTTCTAATTGAAATATACTTGAATACATATTTGATTGTAATTACCGGTCATAAAAAAAAAGCTTCAAATTTACTTGAAAGAATAATCTTAAATTTAATAAAATTCTTTCATATTTCATATTTTCTTTATTTCAGTCATTCAAATAATATGTATATCGTTTAACTATAATGTTTATACTTATCAGCATCGATTTAAACAAAATTTGAAAGTTTTTTGCTATTCTGTCTATTAAATTGCATCGAAGAGAAAAAATTACGAAGAGGAAGAATTAAAACGCTGTTCTTTTTATGAATAAAAAAAAAAGGAAAAGAAAGAAGAAAAAACGATGAAATCGTTCATTCTATTAATTACGTGCATTATTCTCAGTAAGCATGGCTGTCTATCAGACTGAGTATTGGTATAAATGGCTTTGTATTTCTAGTTAATTTAGCTTGACAGTATGCAGCAGGATCGATTACACCAGTGCTTCTCATAATGACAGTCCACTCTTCGATGAAAATTCTTTTGTCACATCGCAAATCGATTCGTTTCAATATTTTTATTGCACATCCTGAACTAATCGATTAATAAATCGATAATTACGTAACATCAAATTTCTTGCCACGTCGAATGACCGTCTTCGTATATTCAAGTCGTATAATTTGCTCGAAGAAAGAATTGAGAAACGCTATTTTTCGCATAATGTTATATCAATTAGCTATAATATATTAGATCTTGTCATATTAGATCTTGTCTTTGTAAGCATACGTATCACGGTTCGATAACCGTATTATGGGAAATTGAGATGATCGTAAAGAAAATCGACACTTTCCAGATTCATTGCCATAATCGTTTTTCAGGAGAAAATATCATAAAAATCATATCGTAAATGCGTTATAAAACATGTTGTGTAAAATGTAGATCCACAAGGAAATATTATAAATGTATCTTGTAAAAGCTATAAAATGGCACAACAAAGTGGAGAAATTTCCAAGCATATGAAAAGATAGCGTATTTAGAATTGTTGTATAAAATTTAGACGAATAAATTGTTAGACAATTAGAATTAAAATGAATATTTTGCGTAGAAAATGATATATGGTAATACTATATATATAATAATAATTATTATTAGAAGACGTTTTATATTGGTATACATATCATGAAATATTAAATTATACAAATTTATTAAAAACTCACATACTGCGTATAATACATATGTAATAATCAGATTTGCGAGTTTGGAGAAATTTTCACATCTCGTTTTGCTAAAATTACTTTTTATTCGAGGAATAATCTGTTTCTGAAATATTTCAGGCCAAAAATGACGTAAAGTTTTTAAATTAAATAATTAATTTATCACTTGTTATTTATTCTATATCATTTGTTATTTAATTTTCAAGAAAATAACTAGTTTCTTAATACTAATTATCGTTCAATACTTGTTTCAAATGTTATTTCGAAAATAAATTTTCGACCAAGAAATAAACGTTATTTCTTTGAGTAATTAATTTTTTTATTCACTATGTAATTAGCCAAATAAAGGACGTAACATAAAATAACAATAAACATTGTTTGAAATAAATATTTTTGAATTAGTATCTGAAATAAATTTCGTTCAGATCTGATATTAGCATTTATATCTGATATTAAAACGAGGTACTATATAATATGTAAAATTAGTCTAAAGCAAAATTGAACGATAATTTTTTACAAAACGTAGAGTTATTGTATATTAAGACTAAATCGACGAGACAATAAAAACAAAGTATAAATACAAATTCAAATCTATTGTAGAAGTCTGCAGTGGAGCTGACCTACCAGAAGTTGAGATCATCAGTTTGCTAGAGGAACAAATGCCTAGGTATCGTCTACGAGCCGATACTCTCACTCAGTTTCAAGGTAAATATAAGTAAATTTAAAAGGCCTATGTCAACATTCAATGTCAACGATCATATGTTTCGTGTTTTTACGATATATCAATAAAGTTCGAAAAATTGCTCGTTTTTGGAAACCTGGAAAAATAACGTTGGAAATCTCATTATGAAAAATACGCAAATTATTATAACAGCATCTTAAACAGTATACTAGATTAGAAAAAAAGTAAGGCAGATTTTGTCGATACACAACTGTGAAATTAAGAAGATGAATGTAAAAATAAATTAATATATCAAAGTTTTTCTACCAGAAAGTTCCTAGCTTTTAGTATTTGTTTACTTATTTATTATTATACGAGTAACGCGCTATTAATAAATGTGTAAAAGCATTTTTAGTACCAACATTTAATTATAATTTGCTTTCATACATTGCTTTTTAAACTAGTCTGCAGAGTTGATGCATACACTATATTTTTAGTAGTGCTGATTGATTTAATTATATGTACCGTGTAAATTAGAAGCAAACTTTCAATTATCATATTTAGAAAAATATCGAGAAGCCTTGCATTAATCTGACGAAAAAATTGTTAACATTTGCCCTAATACGTTTCCACATTGTCAATGATTTCACAATATTTCAGTCAAGGTAGTATACTTTATTCGTGCAATAAAATAGGGATCTGCTACGACAGTATATTTTCATTACATACGTACCTATATACATACACACATACATACTTCAACTCTCGGTTATTATAATTACTTCCTGCACGCAATTACATTTAAACGATGAAGGCAATTATCGTATAAATATCTGTATAACTTATATTATTTATTATTCGTAGGATACGAAAACGCTGATTGGTTCATTCCTTCACCGGCCCTAAAGTCAGTCGACACTGATTTAAAATTGTCACCGGACCAAATCCGGGAGACTCTCAATTATTTCAGTAAGTTAAAGTAAATTATTTCAATTTTTTTTATTATTTCTCCGCTATTTCTGTACACAAAGCGTTAAATAAATTCGCTCTGTATATCGGTAAGTATTTTACACTGTTGCTTAACTTATTACATGGAATTTGAATGTATAATATCGATAAGCGTGAATTTTTGAGAAAAGATTAACGATTTTACAAGCAAGATGCAAAACAAAAAGGCAGGAGTAGCTCGACAAGTTTTTAACAGATTTAATTATGCATCTTTAGTACTCCAACGTCTTATGTAACATTAAAAAAGATTTATGATCAAGAAAACCGCGGCTTAGTTCCTAATTTTCAAATATTTCATCTCAGAATCTGTGACGGAAAATTGCGAATTGTTTATCATCTTCATAAATCACATTTACTACTTAGTCATTCCATTTTATTTGTCGATAAGCAAACAATTTCAGCGATAAAATCGTACATTTTCGTTATCGATAAAATGCAATAATACTCCTTGATCGTTGTCGTTACTCATTCATTTATATCGTTGTATACTTTATTTTCGCGTTTTGCTATTTTTATTTTTCTTCGTAATCTCGGGTCCAAATCATTTGAAAAAAATTCGTTGCTTCATGTTTATCTGTAAATTATATATCGACCACCCCTTCTCCGCTTAATTCCTCAGCTTTATGAAATTCTTTATAGCGAACCTCGTTTTGGAAATCAGAATTTATTAAAATTTTCTCCTTCCGTTTAAAAATGTCTTCAATAATTCATATATGTAAAGGTATTTTTTTTTTTCTATTATACTATAACTATGACTATAAACGTTTTAGAATGTACTGAATAATTCAGACGTACTACAGATGTACGAAAATAATTATAATAGCCTATTTGTAAAATGATATGTACAGTTTTACGAACAGAACTCGTTTTTGGTTTATTTACAAATCGATATCCGAGCGATAGTTTCAACGAATTAATTAACTCTTACAACTTGGATAAATTGGTTAGAAAAATTGGCATACCTCTATTCGAGCATTGGTATGTTATTTGATAAATAAATAATTGACGTAAAAATCTCATTTTGCAAAGATAATATTTACGACAAAAATATTTATAATAGGTATTTTAAAATACGTTTGCTCTTCTTTTAAAATATCGTTTTACGAGATAGTGATAACGAGTCACATGCAATTAGGCGCTCTTTTGTAGAGTATCCAATCGTAATAGTCGCCCGGAGGATTTCTCGACCAATCAGAGCGCTCGACCCGGCAGTACTGCTGGAACTTGCATAGTGTACTTTAGTCGCCGCTCGTCTTCCACGTTGGAAGGACGTTCTGCGTCTCTATCCATGCTCTGTGCATAGAGGAAAAAAAACTTATCTAATCTTTTAGTAAACGGGTAAACGTTCTTTTTCAAATAGTGTTTATGAAAGAAGAGTAGTCTACGGTGAACTAAACCTTGTGAAGTGATGATTATAAGTGAAGTGCCGTTTTAATAGACTTTTGACTTCATGTTCTTATTAATGACGTATTATTCGAAATCTACATGCATAACTCGTTTTCCGCTGTAACGTGTAGCATTTTAAATAATCTTATAGGTAAATTTGATTTATAGCAAGGTGTAGGCACTTTTTGTGAATTAACGTCGCAACGGAAATTCGATATTTCGCTCCTTCGTAATTTTTATAATAAAATCGGAAAATTACGCTTCAAATTTGACTTGACACTTTATTACCAGTAAATTTGCGTATACATTCGTTGCATTCCTCAATCACGTTGAACATTCGAGTAGAAAAATTTTTTTCGTTCTATATTTCTGTGATAAATGTGCTTTTATTCATTTTACATATTCAGTTTTGAACAACCCTTCGTACAGAAAATAAATATAAGAATAAAATATTTCATTGATCGCAAATATTGGGATTAATTTTTATGATATTGAGACTTCTGAAAGTTCGCTGATATTGTGTCTAGGTTAGGTTAGAGTAATTCTTTAGAATTAACGTTTTCGGTCAATTATTGAGATAAATTAACGCATAATTTTTCGATACTAATTAGTTGAAGTTACATAGAACGTATAAATAGATCATCATACTAAAATTCAATTAATATCACGTAGAAAATTCTAAAAAATATGCTTTTCAAAGCATGCGTAATCGCATCAAGTTAGGTTAGGTACGCGAATGTATAACAGATTTTCTGCAATTTTTGAAATAGAAACTGAAAAGTGACGTGTATAATGTATTGATAATTATAAATATCGTTGATTCTAGCATGATTGAACTATATCGAGTTAAGACACGCGTGAATTAAAATGTAAATAATATTTTTTAGGTTATATATCCATTTCGCGATTTATATTTCGTTTCATAACTACAATAACGTTCTATAATTTTGATTGCTCGGTGTCCTTCAAATTCTATATAATTTTTGCATATCGCTGTTACATAAGTATGCAGTATTTTTTTATCTTTGTAAACAAGTCGCTGATAATGCGTATGACAGATTTCGGAGATTTTTTCTCTTAAAAATTTTGTTTATCTATCTTTGTATCTAACGCGATTAATCGTATAACATTTAACGCAAATGTATCAATTTATTAATTTTTTGATTTTTCTGCGTTAACGTAATCGTCATATATTAATATACAATTAACGAATTAAGGTTATTATAATAATAAGGTTATTACGTTAGAATAAACGATATACATTTTAATAGGAAAATCATAGGATAAATGACGAACAATTTAATACTGCAATTAAAAGTAATAAGAATGGAGGAGAATTGTTAAGCCTTTTATAATTGACAAGAATAAAGCTATTAGTTTATTTATAAACAGATCTAGCTAATATTTTGTCAAAAAGATTAATGATTGTGCAATTTATTTAGATGGTTCGCGAATATGGAGGTCGTTTTCGTAATTTGAGGTATCGAGGGTATTCTTGCGCTCCGATTACTTTACGCATTTAAGTACGTTTTTATAAAGAAACGCGTTAGTACGCGTTGCAACGCGGAATTGTTGCCGTTCATGAAAATAAAATCCTTGCTTTCACGTCAATTATATTTGATAAAATTGTGTCTAACGTAACATTATTTTAAGCACAGAAACTCTTTTCCTCTCTTTCTTTTTCTTCTGTTTTTTAATTTACATCCGGAATATCTAAAATTTTAAAAACCTTTCGACTTCCTTAGAATTGCTTCGAATTATTCGAAATTTATATCCTTTTGAAATAATTTTTAAATAAATTTTTCTATAACGTAACGAAAATTGTTCGCCATTTTCTTTAATTACTTCAAATTATTCGAAATTTATGTTCCTTTGAAATAATGTTTAAATAAATTTTTCAATAACGTAACGAACATTGTTCGCCATTTTTTGTCCGAATTTTAATAATCTTTTTTTTTCATAATTTTTTGGTTTTTGAAATAATTAAGGAGTGAAGTTAGAGCGAAGCAAAACGAGTTGGTTCGCAGCTCGTATTTGTGACTTAACAAGGAAAAGTAGTTTCTCGAGTCCCGTATTCGATTTTCGCAGAGAATTACGCAATAATCATTAGACGATCAATTAAGCTTCCCTTGTTAAAGAAAAACCGTGTAATTCTTTAGACACATTTCCTCTCGCGTGGTTCAACGCTTTCTCATAGAAATAATACGCGAGTCAAGCGGTACAGAAGTAAGCAGAAAGAAGAAAATACGGGATATAATGGTTTATTGTTTTCGAAACTTCGCCAGAGCTCTTTCACACCGATTTATTGCCTCGAATTTAATTAATGCATATAATTAATCAGCGCTCACGGAAATTCCGCGTATATCCACTCGATAATTATCTAGGTAAATATTGAGTAATTAAATTCTTTTCTAATTTCAAATTTGGCCGTACGTGTATCGATCATTCGATTTGACTGAATTGTATTGATAAATTTTTAATTTACGTTAATGGAATTTTATTAAAGCAAAGATCTATATGACTATGGTTATATATATTATTTATGCTGCAAATAAATAATTTCCCTCATTAACAAATTTTTAACGTTGTTTTACATATTAATGATATTTATGCATCAAGGTTTTAATTTCATATTAATTAAATTTTATTAAATTGATTATTATATGTGTAATTATATTAATAAAAATTATTTTTATTAACAAAGTACAATTATCTGAGTAGTCAATTTTATCAAATTTTTAGTTTTGTATTCATTAAATTTCATCGACAAAAATAAATTGAGAATTAGATACATAATTACATATTGACATAAGTTATTTCTGTTACAAACACGTAATCATTATATATTATCGATATTCGTACACCATATATAATATTTAATGGGCATATAAATATAATACACTCGATGTTCTCTCGTTTCTAGATTACAAAATAACATGTGTATACATATATATAAAAATGATCGAGATACGATGCACAAATCGTGTTATTTTTATAAGCATGCTTTCTAATTAATTCGCTTTATTATCAATTATCAGTCAAAAATCAGAGATATAAATCACACCATAGTATTTTGTTTCGGATTTTAATCTTTTATCTCGCGAAATAAATCCCGTTTAATTACTGTTGTACGGTTATAAAAATTCAGTCACTCTTTTTCATAGTTTTGTCGACGCGTTATTGTCGATAGTAATTTCATATCGTAATTAAAGAAACATGGCCGATTCATAACAAAATATCAACTTTATCTGTTTATACTTACCAATATATGATCGTTATCAGTTAATCGATCTTTCATATTGAAACTTCTAATCAATTGTTTTCTTATCGATGTTATTGCGTATTGTTTCTCGTACGAGTTTGAATGATTTCTTTAACCGATACCGTGATATTTCCAGTCGTACATCAATATTTGTTGTGTCAGTTAAACTCTCTTTACTTATTTCCACGAAAAAATTTCAACGAAGTTTTACGATTCGAAGTAATTAATCGGATATGATCAGAAAAGTTTCGATTTCGAGAATTCGAAATTAGAGTGAACAATAAAATGCAGAATAATTTTGAAGAATATTAAA